GAAAGAGTAGGGAGAGGAGGTGTTATAGGAATAATTTTCTCTTAAACCTTTTAACTAAAATTAGCTCTCCATGCAGAGATGTATCATACTTATCCTTTAATTTTTGTGCATTTTCTAGAATACAACCAGTTTCCTGTAATGTGAGTACCCATTTGAAAAGCATAGTCTATAGTTCACTGTCTTCCCTATTAGGATCCATATAAAGGAGACAATAACATTTTAGAACCAGAGAAACTTGAGTCTAGAGACAAAGAATAAATTATTCAGATTCTTAAAGCTCTAAAGTATGCAATTACAGTGAGTATTTAAGACTACTGGTGCTCATGTCTAGAAATAACCCAGTTGTCATTTCATAGACTATAAAATTCACTCTTCCAATTAATGATCACAATAAAAAGACAATTCATATCCTTAAAAAATTTAGCAACTGACATAATTTTTTTTTTTGGAGAGGTTTTTGTTATAGGGCGCATGTGCTCGCCAGACAGACAGAGAGAGACAGAGAGAAAGCAAGCGAGAAATCACCCCCCAGGGGAGATGGCCACGCTGCAATCCCTTCTCCTCCATTCTCCTCTTGGGACCTTGGGCACACATGCACACGCGCCCAGCGAGAGTTTTAAGACACCGGGTCCAGGACGCAAACAGTGGTCGACTACGTGGGACTCCAGTGACATAGTCATTACACTAACTAGCTGGTCCCAGCAACTGACATAATTTGCAAGTCTTAACAAATGTAGTTATATTTAGCATAGCATTCATGTGAGAAAGAAATTCTTCTAAATCCTATAATCACAAGGTTTTATACAATAGTATGATAGGAGTCTTTAAGGAATATCATTGGTAAAGATTTTTTATCACAAAGTAAACTTTGAGTAACTGTAGACAGGTACACAGAAATTAATACTAAAACCCTTATTTCAAAGGTCTAAGGAAGAAAACATGGAAAATTATTAATAAATGGGATAAAGATTGAAGAGAAGCAATGAGGAATCAAGAAAGATTTCCCTTGGACAGCTGGCCCAAGGATTTTTATCATGGTGTTCTTAAGGAAGATTTAGAGTTAATGCTCTAGGGAGAGATGTTCACTGGTTGAAATATTCTCTTTGTAAGCTAAATAATGTGATTGAATGTATAAAAGAAAATGAAAGAAAAAAAGAGTTAATGCTCTGATCAGGTCAGATGTTATCAGTAAGTATTGCTTGGGTTGACTGCTCAGTGAATTATGGGCAGATCCTTCTCCAACATGAGTTTAGTCTTTCAAAACATCCTTTGTCTCATTTGCAAAGTCCCCAGAAATGTGAATGTCAAAATTTCGGTACTTCAGTCAAAATTCTAGTAATTCGAGAAGCCAGCCAGGTTACGCAGCACCTACAGAGCAGTAGTCGAGGTGAGGTTGTTCCTGTTTGTGTCACAACTCATGCATACATGCACCAGTTCACCTTCTTACCAAAGGACCATCATTTCCTGAGATTAACCCCATGAATATAATAACAGGATTGACTCCACAAATCACAGGTTGGAATTGTGTCTCATGATGTCATAATCAGACCATGTACACTAATACGTCTTCACGTATTGCTTGGTAAGGAAATTCTCATTTCCATTTCATCTGTAGTCTTTTTTTAAAGACAGAAAGTGCCTCAGTTATTGCTGCTACATATTTTTTCATGAAAGAAATATGAAAATCATTAAGAAATTCAGTAAGACAAAAGACAGGTGATCTGGCTTTTCATTCGGAGTCCATTTATCCTGATCCTTGCATACTGCGTAACATTTATGTTTTGCCTTCCTCATTTAGAAAATTCAAGAGTTCAATAGATGAGCCAAAGCTCCATTCCAATGGAAAATTATGTCAATTAGATCAAATATTTACAAAAAGCTAACATTTCAATAAAAAATGTGACCAGTTTGTCTGTATTCTCTGTATATCCTGGCATTTAGAATCTGGAATCAGCAGATGGGATAATGTTTATGTCACTGGGCTTTCTTGTAGTAGACTGCAGTTCGAGTCCCAGACCCGGTTACTTAAAACTCACACCAGGCATGTGTGCCAAAAATCCTGAGAGAATAATAGAGGAGAAGAAATTGTGGTGTAGCAATCCCCCTGAGGGATGATTTTTTACTTTCTCTCTCTGTCTCTCTGGCAAGAGCACATGCCCTATAGCAAAAATCTCTCTCTCAAAAAAAAATGTAGAATGATCCAGATGTCTCACTGAAATGTTTACTTATGTCATACTCAGTTTACTCATATCAACTTTCCTAATACTTTAAACACAGCAGTGCAACAAATATCAGGAAGTTCGTACCCGCATTGTAAACCATGGAGATGAAAAGTAGTTGTGAACTTAATCATATTTCACGAACAATAAAATTATTCACAAATGATGTACTTTAGTTTTCTCATGACCATCAATGCTTTAAAGCCATGTTTAAAGTTCTCCAGTCAACCTTTGGGAATGAAGCACTGATATATCTAAATGCCTGTGAGACTACAGGTGACCTGGCTAGCCATCTGAAACAAGGAAAACTCTAAGACTTCAGACGGAGCCAGGTATGCCATGGGGAATGCCTCTCTGGAGGAGGCAGAGCTCCTAGTTACAAACTGAATAATCCTTGTGTGTGACTCCCACACTCTGTACTATAAATGGAAATGGTGAGGGAAGAAAACCCAAGTCAGACAGTCAACTACTAATTTTAAAAGAATGCCTGGTTAAAATAACTTTTTCATTCTTATCAAAAAGCCTCCCAAAACTGGTTTTTCAGGACTAGGATAGGAATAGAAGTTGAAAATCACCCTTATATACATTAATCACTTCTTAGGCACAATGACTATATACGAATCAGAAATTATCACAAAAATCATTTTAACAACTCAGAACATAAAAGAAATTGTCAAATGTGCACAAACCTCCTTCCTCCTTGGGAACCACACCCCCTCCCCTCTAACCTCATCTTCTCTTTACTCCTTAATATAATCATAGAAGAAATAGTAATTTTCTTATTTTGGAAAAATAGGAGATAGGGGTAGAAGGGTGTAGGTTTGGTGTCTCTTTTGCGCAGTTCAGTGACTTACAATGGTTTTAGCAATTAAAGAAAATGTGACTTATTATCTGTAAAAGAGCAAAGCTCACTATTTCATTAAAAGCATCATTTATGAAAACAGGAAGATCCTTTACAAAAAACGTTTTTCCAGTTTGAACACACAGACCAGCAGGTGCAGTTCCCTTGACTGAAGAATTTACTATCCTGTGCGTGAGGAGTCATCAGCTGACAACTCCCACACAGAAACTCAGATAGGTCTCACTTCTATGATGCCTACAACACGTGAAACCACCAAGAAGTTCAAAGCAATGTGATCTAAAGGCTTAACAAGGGAGAGAAGGGCTGCTGAAGCAGAAGAGCCTATTGGACATTATCTAGAAAAACAAAGATAATGTGATAAGTTCTGATTTTAATTATTTGGAAGGAAAACAGAAAAAGTTATACACTTTGTAATGAAGATTTCTTTATGTTTATTAATATAATTCAACTTACCTCTGGGCAGAAGAGCAGCACTTTTTGGCTAATCAGCCTGCAGTGATTTCCCAGGTGGATCAGCTTAAACGAATGGAGACTGGAGTTAATGCAGTGTAGTCTCAACCTCTACCTGCCTGTATTAATGAACAGTTCAGAGGCTTCTCCCTCACCGACTGAGTCACTCGGGGAGGAGGTGGGTGGTATGAAAGAGGGTGTCGCCTTGTACAAATACCAACTCAATTAAAACAGTCTCACTCCCGACCTACTGTCTTTGTTTGGCGAATTCTTCATATAATTTATGACCATGTTATGCCAAAAAAAATGTTTAAAAGCTTCTGTTATCATCCTTTTAACTGATATCAACAATACCCCCCAACTATTTGACAGACAAGCTGACATAGCACTCAACTTATTTTGGATTCTCTTTTTAAAAACAAAACATAAAACTCCAGGTAGAAGGAATCCCCGTTTACCCACAGTACATGGAAAACAGGGGCGTAGACACACGGGAGTACACTACTTAAAGGAGTCAAGTTCCTTTAGGAAAGAAAAGTCCTCAGGAACCGAGGAAACTTGGGTAAGGAAGTAAGAATAGATGGCTCCGTCTAGGTGGCCCAGGGATAGCACACTATCTATGGTGTTAGAAGCCACAGAGCCAACAGCAGGCTCCAGTTCCCAGGTGACCTGCAACATGCTGGATGCTTGCCCAAGATGACTTAATGGAGTGCTGGGGGGAGGTGTGACAAGACCTTATCCAAGAGACCTGTCTCTCTCTTTTTTGTTCTCTCTCATGAAAGAACAAAATAAATAACTTTTAGAGGCCAGCAGTTAGCGTAATGTCTATGTCACTGAACTCCCATGTAACCGACTCAGTTCAAGTCCCGGACCTGGTGGCTTAAACGCACACCAAGCGCGTGTGTGTGCGTGCCCAGGACCCTGAGAGGAGAATGGAGGTGACTTATTATCTGTAAAAGAGCAAAGCTCACTATTTCATTAAAAGCATCATTTATGAAAACAGGAAGATCCTTTACAAAAAACGTTTTTCCAGTTTGAACACACAGACCAGCAGGTGCAGTTCCCTTGACTGAAGAATTTACTATCCTGTGCGTGAGGAGTCATCAGCTGACAACTCCCACACAGAAACTCAGATAGGTCTCACTTCTATGATGCCTACAACACGTGAAACCACCAAGAAGTTCAAAGCAATGTGATCTAAAGGCTTAACAAGGGAGAGAAGGGCTGCTGAAGCAGAAGAGCCTATTGGACATTATCTAGAAAAACAAAGATAATGTGATAAGTTCTGATTTTAATTATTTGGAAGGAAAACAGAAAAAGTTATACACTTTGTAATGAAGATTTCTTTATGTTTATTAATATAATTCAACTTACCTCTGGGCAGAAGAGCAGCACTTTTTGGCTAATCAGCCTGCAGTGATTTCCCAGGTGGATCAGCTTAAACGAATGGAGACTGGAGTTAATGCAGTGTAGTCTCAACCTCTACCTGCCTGTATTAATGAACAGTTCAGAGGCTTCTCCCTCACCGACTGAGTCACTCGGGGAGGAGGTGGGTGGTATGAAAGAGGGTGTCGCCTTGTACAAATACCAACTCAATTAAAACAGTCTCACTCCCGACCTACTGTCTTTGTTTGGCGAATTCTTCATATAATTTATGACCATGTTATGCCAAAAAAAATGTTTAAAAGCTTCTGTTATCATCCTTTTAACTGATATCAACAATACCCCCCAACTATTTGACAGACAAGCTGACATAGCACTCAACTTATTTTGGATTCTCTTTTTAAAAACAAAACATAAAACTCCAGGTAGAAGGAATCCCCGTTTACCCACAGTACATGGAAAACAGGGGCGTAGACACACGGGAGTACACTACTTAAAGGAGTCAAGTTCCTTTAGGAAAGAAAAGTCCTCAGGAACCGAGGAAACTTGGGTAAGGAAGTAAGAATAGATGGCTCCGTCTAGGTGGCCCAGGGATAGCACACTATCTATGGTGTTAGAAGCCACAGAGCCAACAGCAGGCTCCAGTTCCCAGGTGACCTGCAACATGCTGGATGCTTGCCCAAGATGACTTAATGGAGTGCTGGGGGGAGGTGTGACAAGACCTTATCCAAGAGACCTGTCTCTCTCTTTTTTGTTCTCTCTCATGAAAGAACAAAATAAATAACTTTTAGAGGCCAGCAGTTAGCGTAATGTCTATGTCACTGAACTCCCATGTAACCGACTCAGTTCAAGTCCCGGACCTGGTGGCTTAAACTCACACCAAGCGCGTGTGTGTGCGTGCCCAGGACCCTGAGAGGAGAATGGAGGAGAAAGGATTGTGGCATGGCCATGCCCCCTGGGGGATGATTTCTCACTTTCTGTCTCTCTGTCTCCCTGTCTCTCTCTGTTTTTCTGGCAAATGCACGCGCCCTATAGCAAAAAACTCTCCAAAAAAAAGTTTTAAAAATGAAAAAAAAAAAGAAAGGAATTTGTTACACAAATTCTACACATGGAATATTTTGTAGTATATCAAAGAAAATACATATCTTGGAATGTAAGAATTTTACTCTTTATATTATTTTATCATATATAAAATTGTGAAAAAGACAGTTGAAACTTCTTCCATAGTTCATAATCTCATTTTTTGGAGACGTTTTTGCTATAGGGCACATGTGCTCATCAGAAAGACAGAGAGAGACAGGGAGACAGAAAGCGAGAAATCACCTCCCAGGGGGATGGCCATGCCACAATCCCTTCTTCTCCATTCTCCTCTCAGGGTCTTGGGCACACATGCACATGTGCCCGGCATGAGTTTAAGCAACCAGTCTAGGACTCAAACCATGGTCGACTACATGGGAGTCCAGTGACATAGCCATTACTTCAACTGCTGGGCCCGCTCATAAGCATTTCTTTTAGTCAGAAGACCAGTGTCAAAGACTGCTTCAACTGAGATGAAGGAATAATCCAGAAGAGCCATCCTAGGTGGAGGCTCTTATTATACCTTCTAAAACGCACCTTCCATAATAGCCACAGAAGCTTTAAAGAAGCTTAGCAAATCTGGAACATTACTGAGAGAAGCCGGGTCATTAGAATTTCCTGGGTCATCTTTATGCATCAGTCACACCAACAATTACCAAATCTTCTCTGTAAGACTCCTCCTGAACTAATGCCCACAGGAATGACTGTGGTAGAAATATCTCTGTCGAGGGACAAGACATGGCCACTATAAACTGGGATATCACTTCCTCAATGTTCATTATTCTGGGCTGAGGAATTAAGAAATCGAAAATGGAAAGTGTCCTTTCAACGCAAACCATATATTCACATCTATTCGGCCCTTTTATGAAATCTTATGAATGCAAAGTATTTTTTAAATGTTTCAAATTTCTGTGATGCCCATAAATGCTGGTTGTATTGAAATTGGATATCAATACTACTAATGAGGGCACAAGCATATAGCATAATGGTTATGGTGCCGGACTCCCACACAGTCGACTGCAGTTTGAGTCCTAGACCCAGCAGTTTAAACGGTGTGTCAGGCACATGTGCATATGTGCCCAAAATCCCAAGAGGAAACTGGAAAAGGAATTGTGGCATGGCCAAACTTCCTGGGGAGGATTTCTTGCTTTCTGTTTCTTTGTCTCTCTCCATTTCTCCAGCAAGTGCATGCACACACCCTATAGGAAAAATCTCTCCCGTGTGTGTGTGTGAAAAAGTTGAAAAACAGACATGTGACTTGGCTCTACTGAAAAAATAAATTAGAAGCTATATTCAGCATTACAACTCAGTAAAAATGAAGGGCTAAAACAGTTTAAGAGCTACCTTGAAGGGGCAAGTAATAACTTACATTACTGAATACTTAAATGTATGTTTTTGTTCTTCATAAAATATAGAACCAGAAAAATAAGTTTTTACTTTTTAATAAAGTTAAGTATAGCTGCCCAAGGAATGCTTAGGGCCTCTGAGCTTATAACCAATAATTTCTATGCATAATTTAGGGCTTCTCTTACTTTATATACCAAGACACCCATACCAAAAAGTTAAATCAGTGTCTTTTCATTTAGAACCAACACTCTGATGTAAAAAAGGAGTTAATTCTAAACACTTGAGCAAAATTCCTCATGTTAAACACATTGATCAAAAGGACTGCCTAAAATTAAGACTCTCAAAATGTGAAGAAGTCATATCAAGAATGTGTTTGGGTGTGGAGGTGGCCTAACAGGCTTGACCTTGGTTTCACTCAGGCCTTGAACTAGAAAGGCTTGAGCATGCTTAGAATAACTTGGCTTTAACACTCCTATTCCACTCTGAGTATGGGCATTCTTGAGGTCTCTCTAGAACATAAACTCAGAAGCTGGGAGGGCAAGTGGTCTTCTCAGGTGACAATGCCTGTTGACCGGTGTCAATTGCTTAGAAGGATTTGATAGTCTGTGAGGCAAGTTGGAATCAACAGGAGAATGCCATGGTTAATTAGCAATGTCCTCCACAGGTCTTGGATTGGAGAGTGTTTGCTGACCCTGCCTCATAAAATTAAACATCACAATGTCACATTGGTTGTGTGTCTGTGTAAGAAGTGTTCAAACAGCCAAAATGAGCACTTCTCTTTTTTTTGGAGAGGTTTTAGCTATAGGGCACGTGTGCTCGCCAGACAGACAGAGAGAGACAGAGAGACAGAAAGCGAGAAATCACCCCCCCCAGGGGGGATGGTCACGCCGCAATCCCTTCTCCTCCATTCTCCTCTTGGGATCTTGGGCACGCACACACACGAGCCCGGCGTGAGTTTCAAGCCACCAGGTCCAGGATGCGAACCGCGGTCGACTACGTGGGAGTCCAGCGACATAGCCATTATGCTAACTGCTGGTTCCCATAATGAGCACTTCTTACTATGTAATAATAAAAATAGCAAACACATAGCACTTTCAGTATGTGCATTGTTCTAGGACGTTTTGACAAATGTAATAATTGTTATTAAATTATTGTCACTTCTTTCACCCTAGAGAGATTCCAAAACTGATACTGGAAATGCAAATAACACGAAGAGGCAAATCAGCATCTTGAAGCTTTGTAATCTATTCTGCTTGAACACTGATGGTTTGAAAGATAGAAGATTCCCTATTGTCCTTCCAGATGAAGGAAATAAATGTTACGTGCCTGTTAAAAAC